GGACACTGAACTTGGAGCTTGCTCTGAGTTTGAGAACAATCGCCTCTTTGGCGCCTTTAGACCCACGTCTGAAACAACTCGCTGGGAATCCTGCGCTTCCATTAGCCTAGTCTGTTTTATGCCTGACATTATCAGTAACTGCCTCTCACGTCGACTGATGGCTTGAGCAGGGACTGGAGTGTTTTCGGTCTGCGGGCACGCAAGCGTAATGACCGATTGGTCGGCACCTTCGGCTCTCACATGACAGTCCGAGTTCGATTCCCTGCACAGTCATGGGCCCTGAACGCTTATGTGAGATTTGCAGTGGCTGGCTCTCCATAAAAGTGTGCTCGATGTCGTGCGTTGCGCTCCATTTTTATAAAAAAGATCTGAAGCGCGGCCCCCATATCATTGACCCCTTTAAAGATATACGTCAAGATGTGGACGCCATTCAGCGTCAGCCAATAGCTCTTCTCCACTACCTTACGAAATCGCTTCTTTTAGAATGTCCTGAAGCTCCCAGCCACGCAGTGACTCCGAAGCTCGCTATCCAGCTGAACCTCAACAAAGCTGAACCTGCATTCGTGCGTAGCAGCTTGCCTGCTGCCAAAATAAACGGGCAGAAAAACTCCTTCGTTTTGACCGCGCACAAGCGTTGAAATGTCATTTTATCACCTGTGACATAACATGTCACATTTCTTTGTCCCCATGACACACAGTAGGCGATAATGAGCAGCTGATCTTCGTTCCGGTTTTTCGGGGTCACTTGATTCTCACAACGATTGATATGATATGGTATCAGATATGCGCTATGCCCGCATCCGACATATGCAGTTGCAGGTGCAAAGGTTGCCACAGCGGCCACTTCCATCCACCCGAATGTATGTCCAGGGCCACCAGATGATGCCTAGTCCCATCTACTCATTTCTCTACCTGTCTCATTTTTATCTCTCTCTACCTGTGCACCTGTGCAACAGGCGAAAGCTTAAGCAGCTGCACAAAAAGCCAGCCTAGCAGCAGATCAATCATTTGGTGTTGCTCTTGCCGGGCCATCCCAATGCCCTCACCTTTACCTAGCCAGCCCGACAGAGACGCGGCGATGGCTCCGTACCTCCCTACCCCCACTGAAGCCCCCGCCCAGGACGGTCAGGTCAGTCGCGTCCTCCGTCTGCAGATCGCTGCCGCCCGCACGGTTTCACCGGCAGCCCTTAAAGCGTCTTCTTGGCTTCGCTTGCGAAATACAGACCTGTGCTGGACACCGGCGCCGACACCTAAAGCCGACACGTGACGCCGACGCCGATACGCCGACACGTGACGCCGACGCAGATACGACGACACCTGACGCCGACGCCGGTACGCCGACGCCTGACGCCGATGCCAATACGCCGACACCTGACGCCGATACCGATACGCCGACACCTGACGCCGACGCCGGTACGCCGACACCTGACGCCGATGCCATACGCCGAACGCCTGACGCCGAATGCCGATACGCCGACACCTGACACCGACGCAGATACGCCGACACCTGACCGCTGACGCCGCTACGGCCGACACCTGACGCCGACGCCGATAAGCCGACCCTGACGCCGACGCCGGTACGCCGGACACCTGAAACCGACGCAAGATACGCCGACACCTGACGCTGACGCAGCTACGCCGACACCTGACGCCGACGCCGGTACGCCGACACCTGACGCCGACGCCGGTACGCCGACACCTGACGCCGATGCAGATACGCCGACACCTGACGCCGATGCAGATACGCCGACACCTGATGCTGACACAGGTACGCCTACACCTGACGCCGACGCTGATATGCCGACACCTGATGCTGACACAGGTACGCCTACACCTGACGCCGACGCTGATATGCCGACACCTGATGCTGACACAGGTACGCCTACACCTGACGCCGACGCTGATATGCCGACACCTGTCGCCGACGCCGATACGCCGACACATGAGCCGGGCTGGCTCGTCCCCCTTCCCCAAACACGTATGAAACGACGCAACATAAATATGTTGAGTTTCGTTCTGGCACAGGGACAAACGTCACATGTGTATGCTGCGTTGATTCAGGTAATGCCATAATCTTCACAACGAGCTGGCCGTGATTGTCCAGCTAGCCATGGGGCTGTTAACGACAGTGAAAAGTAAACAATCGGGCCCGGATCCAAGACATGGTTCACAGGAGGCACGGAAAAACCGGTCACCAAGTTGTCTGTGACACGAGCAGCACCATCCTGCCAACTCAGGCAAATGTATATTGCCCTATAGCACCCAGAACACGTCAAGACGTGTACCGAGCTTAGCAGTTCCAGTTCATCCTGTTATCCACAGAACCTCTCAAATGCGTTAGTAACAAGTCTGTGCGAACAGTTGTCTACCATTACACCGGCTGCTCTCATCAAACTTCACGATTATACTAATAGAAAACCCATATGTTCTGCCCAAATATGTGCCGAAGAAATAACGCGATCCCAGTGTGCACATGGTGCCGCGATGTATCCAATACACATGTGTGCCGTGATCTACCCAATGCACATGTGTGACGTACAGGTGAGTGTCCAGGTAGAAGCTGGCAACACCGAACACCAGTGTCCCAAATCTGCACTAGCAGTTCACGGCCTATCTATCGACGTCGGTGAACACTAAGATGACCCAATATTACCATACGAATGACGAGCTTGACAAAGCTTGGCTAATCGAGCAATGACCCGTCCGCATCAGCCTCGACACCAGCGGCGCTCCACTGCTGACCTGGACGCCAGCGGCACTCCACTACTGACCTGGACGCCAGCGGCACTCCACTGCTGACCTGGACGCCTGCGGCATTCCACTGCTGACCTGGACGCCAGCGGCACTCCACTGCTGACGTGGACGCCAGCGGCACTCTACTGCTGACCTGGACGCCAGGGGCACTCCACTGCTGACCTGGACGTGTGCGGCACTCTACTGGTCATCCCGACGCCTGCGGCACTCCACTGGTCAACTCGATGCATGCGGCACTCCACTGCTGACCTGGACGTCTGCGGCACTCCACTGGTCACCTCGATGCCGACGGCACTCCACTGGTCACCTCGACGCCGGCGGCACTCCACTGGTCACCTCGACGCCGGCGGCACTCCACTGTTCGCAGTGCCGATGTCTTCAGCCACGGCACCCGGAACATATGTGTCTGACTTCTGTAGATGTCGCACGTGCTGGCCGATCTAGCCAAATGCTCTTTGGCCACAGTCCTTCCCATAGCTGTGGAAAGCAGAGGTCCTGCTGGTATCACGGGGGGGGGGGGGGGCTACTGGCTGCGGGAGGAAAGCTCAGGCCTGGCTGAGAGAAAGGAAACGGAGGCTAGAGCGCTGGGCCACTCACGTGGTGAGAGTGAACTTCAGCCATGTTGTTATTTATATCGGGCCATGGTCAGGCAATCCTTCAACTGGAGGTCATGTGCAAACATCCTGACGTCTATCGCTTCCAGCCCGTCTCGTTATTGGCACGGTCAGACCGATATGTGGGGTGGGGTGGGGTGGGGGGGGGGGGGGGGGGGGGAGCAAGTCAATGCGTGTCGCTGACAATGCTGGCGCTAACCGCACAGAGACGGAACGCACCTGCCGGTCAGGTCCGGATAATTCAAGAACGCGGTGTGCCAAACGTCGTACGAGGAAACTAAAGCCATAGATTCCCAGGCCGTGCTGTCAAGACATCAATCTGTTTACCGCAAGCCACAAGCCAACCAATGTAGCTATCTCCCGAAAGGCGTCTTTCCGCATTAACCGTCGTAGACACCGATTAGCATACGCAATATGGTGGTCGTAGCTTCCCGTTGTCCAGCTTCCTTGCGCCTGCTCTTCACAACTTACGTCCCAAGAGCACGTACCACATGCACATGCCAAGGAAACGTGCTGAGCATTGAGACAGTACCCGGATGCGCAGAACGGCGCAATCGGTATTAACTTTGGGGTAGGATTTTCACAGACAAACTGGGCCTCTTCACGGGGTTTCCTGGCTACTGTCATGTTTGAGGTGTGGGCACCGGGGGCACGCGACTGTCATTTACTTGTTATTTGTTATGAGAGCTGTCAATCAAACAAAAATTGGCGCCAACTTACCATTGACGTCATTTGGTTCCATGCCTCACCATTGACCAGTTATGGGGCCTCCTTTACTTGCAATATTGGTTATTTAACGGGAGATGCAGAAGCTTTTAAAGGGGATGTTTCATATTTGAAGATATTGAAGCAAGCATCAGATATGATGAGACAAGCTTAATTATAACTATCGGTGCAGTTTTTAAGTGGAAAAGATTGCTCTAGATAGCAAAATTCTCTCTTTAGTTAATATGCTTAGTCAATATGCTCCTCAGCGCGACATGGTTTGATCACGTCATCAAACCTTGCACAACATTGATTGAGAGCAAATTGACGACCGGTTTACCTGGAAATGGCGCTCACGAACGCCATATAAGCGCTTCGACAGTTATATTTTTCTTGGCCTTGATCACCCCATGGCTTTTGGAATGACAGGATTTGAATGACGTTATTATGATGTCCTGAATACCAAGATGACTTTGAAAGCTCTCACCGACGTACTTTTTCTCCATTTTCGCGGGCGTGTAGCTTAGAAACCAGAGGGACCTAGGTCTTAATAAGAGCAGAATTGCGGACGGCACCGACAGGTCTTCAGGATGACTCTTTCAGTTTAAAATTCCACATAAATGTGGCGCATTCCCTTTAAATTTTGAGGTGGCAAAAACGTACACCTCCTGCGCTCCCTCCCCGTATCCTCTGCTGGGCCGTCACTGGTTCATTCCATAAACGTGACTTAAGCAGATTCCATATAGCGATCAATTTGATTGACTTTTTATGTCTATTTCATTGCAACTTATTGATACCACCGTACTGGACTTAAATATTTGTACAAGTTGAGAGTAACGAAAGATAGGCAAACACGTTGGCCTTCCTGCAATCTAGTGGGCCTGACAACTTAGCGTCATGTTTAGAGCACCAGCACATGAGTAACGCGCGCCGCTGGTGTAGTGGTATCATGCAAGATTCCCATTCTTGCGACCCGGGTCCGATTCCCGGGCGGCGCATAGATCCTTTTCCTTTTTCAAGTGGAATGGTCTGGACATAAAAGATCGCGTTATTTGCTTGTGCGAGGAGCGTATTTTTTCCCTTAAGAACCGGCAATGAGAAGACCGCCAATGTGAAGCGTCTATTCGCTGCCGATCCTGTTTCAACATATCGTGATACTTATGGCTATTATCAAGGGGCGCCAAGATTTTCAGCGAGGGGGAGACTTTTCCACGGGGCGCCTGCACAAAATGATGCCGCATCACAGGAGAACCTCCTGGATAGTATTTTTCAAGGGGGAGGGGCACGTTTACCCTAACAAGTTTGTAGAAACTATTTTGTTGTATATCCTATGAATATTCATGCAAATAATTGTCGACAATGCAGAATAAAGAGTGGGAACCCACTGATTGATTCAGGGGACTTCCGATCAAACTTAGGGTCCACTTATCTGAAGGCAGCGCCTCCTATCCCATAAACAGGCCCTCTAATTCCCAGAGGAGTCTCCTAATCCAGAGCCATCCTTCCGATTGACAGAGGCGCCTCAAAATATGACAACGTGTCTCATTACCGCAAAACGGGGAATCCTGTTTGTGAACGGTGACCTAACACATGAAATGGGCTTCGCGGTGTTGAAGAAAGATCTCCTTATATACAGAGGGTGCTTTCTAATCCATACAAGGGAACTTATAGCTCATAACGGGCCTTCCCGAACAAACAAAGTGGCGTCTTGAACACAAAATAGGGCCTCTTCACACAACAACTGGCTCTCTTGGCATAGAAAAGTGTCTTCTGAGCTTATTGCAGTACCCCCTACATCAATGATGGGACCTACTTGATCTGAATCTTGGTAAAATATGCGTGGCAACGAAACCTTCAGCTTGGTGAAAGGGGTGATACAAAATTTTGGGAGGTCAAAAACACACCCTCGGTCCTCAGCCTGCCGGCAGGGTGGGCGGCGACTGACCCTGCCCGCCTCCCTGCTGCGCCGCCTCAACCGATATGTACGCTTCGATATCTCAGCTAAGTACGCAACTGCTAACAGCAATGTAAATGGCTTCTCCGGGCCGTTTGGGGGCCCAAATCCGGGGCTTGCTGTTCTTTAATTCGGGGGCTGTTTGGGGGCCCAAATCCGGGGCTTGCTGTTCTTTAATTCGGAGGCTGTTTGGGGGCCCAAACGGCCTTCCCGAGTAGCAGACCCGGCCCGCGGGCCGTAGAAAGGTGTGGTATGTGCGCGCGTGCCAGTCACAACTACGAGCCAACCAAAGCACCCACCTCATGATTTGATACGTGTTCCCGCACAAGAGTTGCAAACACCTGACAATGTATCCAGCTTGGTCATTTTGACTCTTCCGGTTATCGACGCGACCTGCTCTATTTGTGAAGTGGGGGAGGGGATATATCTGCGTCTGAGGGTGGGGAAGGTGCATATCTGCAGCTGAAGGTAGGGGGAGGGGGTACATCTGCTTGTGAGGCTCCCAGACTCCACTGATGGCCAACAGGTGGAGCACGCATACCGACGAATTTTAAGACCTCCAAACAACCCAGTATGCCCGGCTTCATGTGCGGCAGCGGGACGCCACCCAATTAACGCAAATGGCACGGGGACGCAAATGCCTTGAGCACGTAGCATATGTGTGAGCGCGGAGCAACTCCAGCGATTCAACATACTGTGATTCTGTTCCAGCAAGTAGGTGGAGTGTGTGGTATTTGTCTTTCCAAGGAAGACCATGATGGCAGCCTGTGTAAGAAGATGACTTCCATGCCGTTAGCACACCTGCACAATGCTAACATTACTCAATCTCCATTAATGAATGCGTTGTATAGACTCCTACCAACCCACTGCACGGCGCCAGGTTAGTCCATAGCCGCGCCCCGTTCCAGAGCCGAGAGAAGCCTCTCGCGCTTGCGCTCCGCCCTCCAGGGAGCAGCCACGGTGGGGAGGGTTTCCCGGTCTAGCATGATACACCCCGGTTTGATTTAGCGGGATAATTCGGTGTAATTATGGCTCGTGCATCTTTGGCACAGAGGCGGCCTCGGCGGGCATCGCCGCGGTAATAGCCATCGGGCTGACGGAGGCACCCGGTGCTTACACTGTGTGGAGTCGCTCACTCGCAGCGCTGGCGACGAGCTCCTGTTTACCCCACACAACTGCTGACATTGAGAGACGGCCGCATGCAAACGCGGCGGGTGCGGGTGGAAGGCGGCGTCCATTGTACTGTGCAGGTCCAAGACAGTGGCTGACCGGGAACCAAATGGCATCTGTACTCAGATCAGCGGAGTGGCGGCGGGTGGAAGGCGGTGTGCGCTGTACTGTGCAGTCCAAGACAGTGGCTGACCGGGAACCAAATGGTATCTGTACTCAGGTCAGCGGAGTGGCAGCGGGTGAAGTCTGCGGTCAAACAAGAAAGGCCCGCTCTTTTTCAGGATGTCTTTGACCCAGCCTGTCCGTCGGCAAACGCTTTTCGACGCGGTCGTCACATTTACAGTCACCCGTTGCACATTTTGCAGCTCTTAGCGACAAGTTGCACGGTTATTTAACTGTTGTGGCGGAGTATTTCATGTTATTTCTATTCAAGCCGTTTGATTACCCTACAACGTCGCGGCATGTTCTCTGCAGCATTGCAAATGCCATTACATTTGCTCCTCCCTTTCGGTTAACATAGGAGGCGTGCATTTGCATTGCGAAGCAGCTGTTGGGCATAGGCTGCAAATTTTATATCTGGGAAATCCGCGGTTTTCACAGCAGGGGCGAACACGGCTTGAAAAAGGACAGAACGAACAGCATATCGGTAAGATATGGGCCAGCGTGTGGGGGGTCAGTCGCGGGCTACCGGACGCAAACCGTGGACCCACCGGACGCAAACCGTGGACCCACCGGACGCAAACCGTGGACTCACCGGGCGCAAACCGTGGACCCACCGGACGCAAACCGTGAACCCACCGGACACAAACCGTGGACCCACCGGACGCAAACCGTGGACCCACCGGACGCAAACCGTGGACCCACCGGACGCAAACCGTGAACCCATCGGACGCAAACCGTGAACCTACCGGATGCAGACCATGGACCCACCGGACACAAACCATGGACCCACCGGATGCAGACCATGGACCCACCGGATGCAGACCATGGACCCAACGGGCGCAGGCCATGGACCCACCGAACGCAGACCATGGACCCACCCGACTCAGACCATGGACCCACCGGTCTTGGGCGCTTCTGGGGATTGCTGGCAAGTGCCAAGTGTCGGTGATCAGAGAATATCAATAAGTTGAACCAACCACCTAATGTAGATAAATGTACTGTCTTCACAACACAATGATATTGGTAAAGCACGAACCATTGTAGCTCCAGTAGTAGGCCAGGCAGCGACCAATGAGTCCTTTTCAACACCCGGCCTCAAACCTCACAAGCTCGGGCTGAACCTGAGATTGACCGAATCATGGAAAGCACACAGGCGTAAAGGGCAGTTTGTGGCGACGCATGTCCATCAACAATGTGTTGATACTCCGTCCAGGTTTTGTTTTTTGCCCGGAAAATACTTTTTACTTGAAATCTATCGATCTTGCTGACTTAAATGACTGAGCCTCGAAACACCAATGCATGGAAATCATCAAGCTGTCATTCGAGGTCCTTTTCCACTGCATTTGTACCCATCCCTACCGATATGTCCGTAAAAATTTCAGGCTTAAAACATTCCGCTTGTCTTTGCCTCCTCTTGTGAATAAAAGTTACACACTTGCTAGAAACATCGATAGGTTTTAATGCACTTATACTCGCTTTTATCCACAGGTAAAACGCACGTGCTGCGTCCAGTGCGCTGCTTTCCACCGTGTCTTTTTCCACTGCGTCTGCTCTTTTGCAGACGCAGTGGAAACACTGCTAATGTATGCATGCGAGCACCATGCGTTAGCTAGCCTCCACTTGCTAAAGTCATAAAAGAATGACATGCTGTGCAGATAACTGTCGGACTCTGATGGACTCGGCCGGACTCTGACGACTGATCAGACCAGGTGGGATGATTGCCGCTGAAGTTTTGGTACCATCTACACGGTAACGCCACGCACCTGCGATCCCACCTCGCCCCTCTCGCTATTGCCCGCCAACGGATTTTTCCAGTCGTAGCTACCCAAGCTCCAAGAACTGGGAAAAAAATTCAGGTCCAAATGACAATTTTTGCCGCCTAAAAGCTGCCAGTCGGTGCCGTGCACCGCCGCCCCTGCATCAGCCCGATCATCGTGGCCATCTACCAACGGGCCACAGAAGACAAGCCATGTAAACCAAATACACGCGTGTCAGGGACGCGAACCGCCACGCCTGACACGCCCTGGAGAGTGTCCGGTGATCACGCCAACTGGGCGGGTAGTAAACACTTTCACGGTTTTTAATGACTTTCTGGTGATCTGTGCTGCGTTTTTGGGGGAGGAGGCGTAGGGAGAAAACCTCTCGGGGAAGGCATGACGTCTCGGAAGCTAACTAAAACAGACAGAAAGCCTCGGCAACTCCAACATAAAGTAGAGATTGTCACAGGTATGACTTCCATTACCCTCTCCACACTATTCGTGGGATTATGGCCATACCCGTCCGTTACCTATTCCGTATCAGTTCAATCCATCTGATTTTGCCGCGTTTACACTTTTCAAAGCTATACGTTAAGCCATGGAGCAGGCTGCGAATACCTAAACACCCATTTTCAATCCTTTTGCGCCCGCAGCTGTAAAATAAGAAGACATTTGTCAGAAAAGATAGACATAATTTTGGCTAGAAAGCAAACCAGCACGTTATTATAATAGCACATCATTTCTCAGAATCCTTACCAGCCGAATCGCCCACTCGTTGGCGGTTATCCGTGGGCTTACCCAGCGTGCCAAGTCCTTCAGTGGCGGGGCCAGCCCAGCAGGCCTGAATCACGCCCATCTGAGTCCGCCCTCGGCCGTGCCGGATGGAGCGCCGGATAACTGGACTGCCTGACTCCGTGTCCTGAGTCTGAGTCACGCCTTCGGCCGTGCCGGACGG